GAGACAGGAAATAGTGTGTGCAATCAACCTTTTGAGCTTTGTGCTCTTCTTTAGGATCTGTATAAAACATCAATAAAACAGTACAAAATAAACTTAAAATATATAAACTACTTAATAAAATTTACATTCAATATATATATTTATATATATATGATATTTGCTTAATTTTTTTTTAATGGTTAAAATACTTTGAAATTGGATCGGTCTGTCGTATATTTCGCACTCTAATTGCTTTAAACGCTTATAACTAAGATATAAAAGGGTGGTTATTTAATGTACTAAAATGAATATGGGCAATTCGTGAAACTTACTGAAATTAAACGTATATCTATCGATAGTTTGATTTCAGGGTGTTACCCTACTGGCCTCTGTTGTGGAGTGAAGTAGTGTGTTTGTGACGTGGTGTTAGAATGTAAATCAGTTAATTAGCATGAAATTAATTATGTAATAAGATTTTAATGGACTAACTATGTATGGGTGAAATGCTATTCATCAACATTAATACCTTTTGGGTGGAGGGTTTGTAATTTTTTAATACAATATGATTTTTTTTTTTTTTGATAATTGATTCTTGTTTATTAACGATATGATCAGAACCTATAATTGATATCGTCTATCGACTGAATCTCTTGATTAAAATGACGGCCAGCTGGTAAGTTTTTACTTGGGATGTTATGGTATTTAATGTCTGATTCATGATTTGTGAATCTAGTGTAAAGGGATGTAGTGTTTACCACATTTTGGCATGTAATTAAATAAATTAACCAATGCATTTTGTCATTGATAACCCGGAAGGATTGCCGGGATCTTCTTAGATCCCGTCTTGTCGTTTAATCTCTGTACATATAATTAATTCACAGTATGAGTGCGAAATCCAGAGAAACATACACATTCGCATATGCGTTACTCTACTTTATTTACACTCTCTCAAACAAACATAACACAATATCCGCGTTTAAAGCTAAAAGACAAACTAGTATATACTATTAAAGCGTAAGTATACAAGTTAAGCGTAAATTTAAGCCTAAATTCAAGCGATTTGTAAAGAAGTATAGAAATATAATAAGGACTGAACCCATCCTTTCGACACTCACGAAAATTATCAAGTGAATGATTGTCTTTCGCAAATCTAGGTACTTGTATTAAAATGCTATTTCTACCCAAGCCCGGAAATACCAATCACCTGATATCATTATACAGTAGTCAACTTATCCTAAAAATGCAATGTTCATCAAAAAATAAAATGTTTGTCTCAGTCTAATCTTGCTATTTTCAAGCCTAAACAACAAAGACTACAGTACGTCAAGTTGTTGCCAAGATAAGAAAGCAGTACTACACCCTACAATCCAACCTACGTTTTCGGATTATATTTCGTTGAAACCAATATTTTGAATAAAATCACAACTACTGTAAATCATGTCAGTATACACTAGGGTCTCTGTATGCGCCTATTTAACATAACACATATCAAAATCGCTAATCTAGTTTACCAACGTTCTTAAATGATCGTCGTCGTATTTACAGTGTAAACTGATAGTCTAAATATACACATTTCGATACCGGTAAAAATATTAATATTGTCCACAAAAATGTTTTATAGTGTAAATTGTTCAATTATATTTTAGCAAATCCAAATATAAGAATATCTGGCATTATAATATATAATAAAATAATAATAATTCATAGGTTTGATTGTAGGTTTACGAAGGAGAAACAACATTAGTTAGTTTTCGATGCACGACATTAACCTTAACTTTAACGTTAGTACCCAGCATGCAGCGCGATACCGCCACCCCTTTTGTAAACAAATCGAAATACGCATGCGTAAACCCGTAACTAACGTACGTCGAGCATGTAATAACTTGAAATTAACGTACTCCACAATGCAAGATGAATAAGTTATGACGTCATCCGTTAAGGGTAACCTCGTGCATCGAAAACTCCCTTCCCTGTTTTATTTATAACGTTATATATTAATAATATATATGAATAAGAATTAATACATGTATGTTTAATGTATATAGCTATTCCAACTGTAGGATAGTGTACTGTGGAATGCAGAAGAGAAATCTAGTAAAATTATTATTTATTGCGTTCATGACATCCCTAACTTCTATCTTGTCGAGCTGTTCGTTTGCCAAATTTTGATTTAATGGCCATTCGAAAACTACGGGACATCAAAGCGTATATGAATGGATTAGTGCAACTGTTAGATAGTCTGAGTATATTAGTTATTAGATTCATAATTAACGCTCGGAAAGTCCGTCGTAAAGCATTATACGTATAACCCAGGCCTAAATAACAACGAACAACAGCGTACGGTACCGTCATGCACAGGAAAACCAAAGTCACGATGATTACTGTTTTGATAGCCTAAGACAGAAAAAATATGAGATGTGTTAAATGTTTCGGTTCTGGTGGGTAAAGCCGACTTCCTAAGGCCTCCAAAAGTGTAGGAGTATAAAAGGAGTGGTGAAGTGTCGAATGATAGGAAACATTTTAGCGTCATTTGCTATGATTTGTTTTTATTGCAGGTTCTGCCCTCTATACTGTAGCCCATGGATTGAACAATCATCCCGGGATGTCTGGTTTCTTCTTAGCCGTTGTCTTTAGCGCATCGATGAGGTAATCAGTTTGTTTGTACCTCTATTTCAAATGCGTCCAGGAGTAATGTTAAATTGTGCCATCACCGTTTAAAGACATTATAGAATTTGTGCTATTCTTAATGAAAAAGATTAACATAAGACATTTTGAAGAATAACTGTATTTGTTTTTATTGCAGGTAGTTTGCCCTATACTGTAGCCCATGGATTGAACAATCATCCCGGGATGTCTGGTTTCTTCTTAGCCGTTGTCTTTAGCGCATCGATGAGGTAATCAGTTTGTTTGTACCTCTATTTCAAATGCGTCCAGGAGTAATGTTAAATTGTGCCATCACCGTTTAAAGACATTATAGAATTTGTGCTATTCTTAATGAAAAAGATTAACATAAGACATTTTGAAGAATAACTGTATAGGGCCTACGTGTTATTTATGTATTACAAGTGGCGTATCTAGGAGCCTTGAAATAGAGGGGCTGAAGGGGTAGGGGAAAGTGAAGAAGGGGCACAATTATTAAGAGAGAGGGCGCATTTGGTGATTTTTAACTATTTAAGCGTATTTTGCATACCAACATTCTCGGGTGGGGGCACTGGGGTGGGGCGCAAGCTTTTTTTTTGGGTGGGGAGGTGCACACTACTGTTTATTATCCTGTATTAATCCATCTATATCATGATTATATCGTAATCGTAGAGTCCTGTTTTTCAGTTAAATCTAAACAGCAAAATTGCTGGGTTTCATCAAAAGACTGGTTAGATCCAATGATCCATATGTTACCACCAAACTGTATAACGGTATCTGAAGGCCAATTATGAAATATGCAGTTCCGGCTTGGTATCACCAGAAGGGTCACCTACAAGCGTTATAACAGATCCAACAGAGAATGACAAGAGCATGTTTTCCGACCCAAAGGGGTGAACTATCCTATGTACAAAGAAAAAAATCCTCCGTCTCACTTCTGTTGAAAATCTATTTAAATTTCTCTGTTTCTCTTTCATTTCCAAATCTCTCTATGGTATATTTTCCTTTGATATCTTTAAATACATTACTATCAACCCTAGACACTCGTTTAATCTTAAGTTTGTTCATACTTATTCTCGTACTAATTCGTTTAAGTTTTCTGTTTTTAATTCCTTTCCTCGTACATGGGATAGTTTACCCAAAGAGGTCGGAGACATGCTTTTGTTTGGTATCGGGCCCTTTTTAAAATAAACTAAAGAGCATTTTTGGGAGACCTAAGGCTGGCAGATTCAATTGGCAATAACTTTTTATTACTTGTTATTACTTGTTATTTTATTTGTTTTAAAATTTTTAATCGTTTGAGTAATCACAATGAGTAACTTATCCAAAATAGAAATAAATGAATAATAATAATAATAATAATATTAATAATAATAATAATAATAACATCATCAATAGTAACAGTAATAATAGTAATAATAATGTTGTATATTATTATTGTTATTATTATAGTCATTATTTATAATAATAATAATAATAATAATAATAACATCATCAATAGTAACAGTAATAATACTAAAAATAATGTTTTAATAATAAAATAATATATTATTATTGTTATTATTATAGTCATTATTTATAATAATAATAATAATAATAATAATAATAATAATAATAATAATAATAATAATAATAATAATAATAATAATAAGGTAAGAGCTTATAAAGCACCATTTAAAAAACCGAAGTAATTATCAGTGGCGCTTTATGTTATTGTTGGAATAAGTGCGTTTTGAGTTATTATTATTATTATTGTGATGAGGATGATGATAATAATAATAATATTAAATAAATAAATACCCTTTAAATTATTGTGAAGGACATTACAAATTTTATGGTGAAAAAAAAATAAATATTACGGAAAAAGCTCCATTCTACGCCATGAAAAGTTTTCCTATTACATTGGACATGGTTACTGGTATCACTGGGACTCACCAGTGGTAAACCTTAATTTTGATAAGATTAAGTATGAAATAATAACATAAGGCTTACCTTCTTTGTAATTATTAGAGAATTGCCTGAAGATGGGGATACGTTAGGACTTACGATGACTCTTTGCAGATTACTGCAGTGCATTCTTTTGTAGAGGGCTGTAGTTGTAACGACACAAGATGCTACCAGGAAGACTGCAGGAATACATACTTGTAAAATGGGAGTCCACAAGTCAAACTGGTAAAAGCCACCATGATAAAAATCGACGGAAAATGCATTCTACATAATTAAAAAACAACTTTTAACACAATACAATAAACAACTTAATCAATCACATGAGTTCTGTAGTGTGGGTTTCATTTTTAATGGAATGGGTCAGAGTGGGTATAAATGTGGAGGAGTGGTGGAAATAACCCAACTTAATTTGGGTACCTCTGACGGTAGAGTTGGAGGGTGGAAATTACCCTCCAGAGGCGGATTTAGGGGGCGGAACAACCCCACCCCTTTTTGGAAAGTAAAAAACAGAAATAATTTATCACCCAAAACGCCTCAGATGTTATTTTTGGGCATCTAGAAAACTAACATTTCTCCGGGGCATGCCGCCGAACCCCTTAGTGATGTGTTATCTCGATCGGCCCATTTCCGGCCCCTCCCCCACTGTCGGCCCCCTTTTGGACTTCTGGATCCGTCCCATGCCTTGTACGAAGCTCTGGCATTTTTTAAATTTGGATAATAATTACTGGACTGTGAAGTCAAGGTTCTGTAGAAAAATGCTGGGTATTAGTTGAGGGGTACCTTTGCCTCCTCTAGGCCCCCTTAGGACTGAGGGACCGGGGATTCACAGAGAGGTGATTATTATACATAATAATATCGTAGATGTTTGCTACTTTATAGGAAGGAAACAAGCTTTGTTATCTTCCCATAGTGTGCCATCTCGTAACCATCACCTCACGTATACCTTGAAAGATGGACCAAAACCTTGTTGAAGGGTGAAGACTAAATAATCGTACCGTCACACACAAAATGTATTTACAATATAGTTCACTTAAAATACATTTTTGCTACCTCGTTTTAGTCTTGATTAATCGGGTATACAACTATTTAAATAACATTAAGTCTTATCACTTATGTTGTGTACATTAATTACTTACTGATTTTAGAAAAATATTACATGAGCACAGGATTGAAACCAACCAAACACTTGCGATTATTAACAATTGTCTTCTGAACGTGATGACAGTGCGGACTCTCAGTGGGAATTTCACAACGTAATATCTTAAAAATGGAGATGTGAAAATATATAACGTCAATTGCTAGAGGTAGTGGAAGTATATAAAAAATACAGACCGACAGTCAGACAAATACAAGCAAACACACATTTATACTTACGCACACGCAACGTGCAATATTATTATTATCATCATTATTATTGGTCTCATTATTACCTTAAACCTTTTTGGATCCTAGGACCAGGGGTAATAATAACAACATCGCCAGCCCCTTGTATCCTGGCAAACAGCACGGTATAAATCTATATTATTTTTATTACCTCCGCCAAGGAGATTGTATTCTGTCTGTTAAGATTACGTAAAACTAAGGCATTAATGTTTATGAGCGCAATGGGAAGACACTTTTCATTAACTTTTTCAACGAGGCCGGCGGAGCTAAGTTGAATGAAAGAGTAAATATTTCAACTCATAAAAACATCCTTCCCATTTCACGAATACAAAACATTCATTATTTGTTATCTAACACACCTAAAGTAGATCCTTGTCATTACCTTGCAGTAGAAGTTTCAACACAAATAACTTGCAAAAATTTTGTAATAAAAAAAACAGCCAACTTTTAAATAGCTCATTTCCAAACTTTGCAACAAGATTTTATTTGATTTTATGAAAAAATATCTACCTTTCTTTAGGAATCAGAATGGAACAGTCCATCATCTTTTAGCCGATGTAAATATTGTATCGTGGAGACGTGCAATGAATAATGAATGTTTATGAGCGCGATGGAAAGAATAATATTTTCATGAGTTGGTCCATTCGACGAAGCGGATCCGAGTTGAATGGAACAATCAATCTTTCAACGAATGAAAATACTCTTTCCAGTGCGCGAATAAAAAACATTCATTATCGTTTTATAACACAACTAAAATATATATAAATGTCATTAGATATTTTATGAAAAAATCTAGCTTTTTTCTGGATAAAAATTCTTGTCATTTGATGTTATTTCTATAAAAACAATCTACTCTTTTTCTAAATGGAAGAGTCCAATATCTTTTTGACCAATCAAATGATTGTAAGTAACTTTATTGCTTCTCTTTTATAACAGAGGCACAACCTTAAAGATGTGCAACAATATACAAAATCAGTAAAAAAAAACTTAATTACTGTGAATAAATATAGTAAGACAATACTGCAATAGAACGAAATATATATAAAAAAGGGGTTTACAAACATTAATAGAAATAAAAATAAATACTAATACTAATAATATAAGTAAATAGGTTAATACACATACACACACACACCCACATATACACACACATACACAAACATATACATAAAAATGAGTAAATATTGTAAATTTAAATCAATAACATTAGTCTAAAAAAAAAACCAGACATACTAGTCTTGCGATAGAAAAGAATTATTTCATTTCGTTCTTTCCATGCCGTCGTTAAAAGTAATTTACAATGTTGTTAAAATTTGATATTCATAATGGATTTCTAAATCATCAAACAAAAGATGGCATTTAAGTTCATGGAAGGTTGATGTGAATAATTCCCAAAATATATGTAAATCCTTTTTCTATAGCTCCTCTTTAAGTTGGTCAAATATTTAATTTCTAATGTTATTTAATCTGGTACAATCAAATACAAAATAATTGATGGTTTCCGTTGTCACACAGTCACATAATAAGCATAAGCCTAAATTTTGAGGTGACCAAGATTCCTTTCTTCCTTCAAGAGGTAGTGAGTTAGAGCGAGCTTTAAATTTTAAACTCGATACATGGAAGTTACACTTTTCTAATAAATACTTTTCCAGTTTAGGTTCACTTTTGTATCTAATAAAAAATGTTTTAAGGATGATTTACTTAAAGCATTGTTATATTAAGTTGGTATAACAATGCTTTAAGTAAATCATTGTTATACCAATTAAGTTGGTATAACAATGATTTACTTAAAGCATTGTTATACCAACTTAAATTTTTTTTCTTTGAAACCATTAAGCCATATTTACAATATTCAATGTTAAAGAACATTTGTAGATCAAATGTATTTAAAATGGATTCAACATGTTGAAGCCATTATTAGGTTGAAATCATGTCGTATCCTAGGCAATGGACGTCATTTTATGAATTTAACCTTCCGGAAAAAGTCTTTGTTTCCTAGGCACCATAGAAAAAAACGGATGGAAGGGAAAAGGCACGATGGAACTAAATTTCTGTAATAAGTGACGAAATGGGATTAAATATCAATGTCACCCCCCAGAGCTCTGCTAGTGTTGTTCCAATAAAAGTACACTTCTTAATTCCCATGCCCGACAAGCGTACGATTTACAGAATTTATCAAATAATGCAATATCATTAACAGGTGTTCATGATAAACATTATTGAGACGTAAGACGTACTGAAGTGTCGCACATAGGTCACTAGTTTAAAAATTTTAACCAGACATTAGCACAGTATATAGAAATTAAATCATTTATCAGCTTAATTCTTCAAATCGGATACTTTATAAAAGGTTCCACAAAGAAAAAAAAAAGAAAATGTTTAGTATCTTTCTCACCATACCCTCAAATCTCGCATTGGGTGTTAATGGGCGTATTCGACTGGTTCATTTCGTTTTCATTGAGTATTATTTTCATTCGACTGGTTGTAAAATAAGAATTCGTTGACAACGAAAATTAACTCAAACCAGACTGTGTTAATCAGTGTTAAGTTATTCAAGTGACCAAAACAAACATGGCCGATTGGTGTGTTTAGAAACAACATTTGCGTTGATATAATTTGGATTAAATTCAGGAAAATAAAAATTGTAATATTTACCCATATGAATTCTGGATGAAAATATTTTTTTTATGAAATACCCATATTGTCACAAGCTGAAGCAATCTTGACTACACAGCGTGTATCGCGGTAACCATGCAACCATTTTGTTTTGTCGAGTATTTACAAGTTTTCTATTCGACTGGTCGTCTTCGTAAAGTATGATTTTGCCTGTGCGCAGCTACCTGGGCGTGGTTTAACGAAGAACGACCAGTCGAATATGGCCAATGTTTTCTATACACCATTTGTTAGTACGTTTACCAAGTGCTAACGTACCGTAGATAGGAGTTTAAATTTGAGACTTGCGCCATGAAAATTTGTCATATCTAGGCCTAAGACGTAAGGGTCTAAACCAGGTTTTTCTTTTACATGCGAATAGTCGCCAAGTGAAGAGTTTCTCTCAACCTCCTTTTTCCAGAATTGGGTATAGGCCTATGATTCTTTAATTGAATCCTCGAAGGGCTTAACCCAATTAGATTTTATACCTATACAAACATTATTCATAATGGAAACAAAATCAAAATTATAAACTCATTAACAAGCTGATATCTTAATTTACAATCTTCTATTCTAATAATCGTATTAAGCAAAGGTTTTGGCCAGCGGTTCATTTCCATACACATAATATTAACTATATACTTTTGCTTTAAAAATATCTTGTGTAATTTTAATTGGTTGCCAACCGAGGTCGCCGTAAAGTGCTTCTTTTACTCTACTTCTATTCGCTTTTAGTATGGTCCGTGCCATTTGTAATTGGTGAGACACTAACTTCTCTAAATCTTAATTAGGCCTATTTGTATTAACACATACTGTACAGCACAAGCATAATTGATTGTGGGAAGGCCTATGCATTTCCAGAGAACATCACCATAATACATGCGGTGAAAATCATCAAGCCTGTCTATAATTATTATTATTGTTTTAAGTGTCTGACGTTACGATTTTGATAAAACATTATTGCACGTGGTCAAGTAGTTATGACGCTTGCCATGTATGCGAAAGATCCTGGGTTCGACTCCCGATGGAGGATGATTTAATGATAAGATTTTATTTGAGAGTAATTTAATTACGGTAAAGAGTAACAGGAAATAAAATATAGTAAGATTTATATAAGGTCCTATATAATTTAAAAAATAATTGTGAAGTAGAAAAAAAATTGTAGGAATATAATGGTATATGTATGAGTTTAAATAATAAAACGCTTGATATCGTGATTATTAAATAGTTTAGAAATCAAGGAATATAATAAAATGTACATAAGTAGAAATAATATATAGCATATATTGTTTGATACTGTACTCATAGTGAATTATTGTGTATGAAGGCATAATCACACGTAGAGTCTAAGGTTGTTCATTCTAGATCTGAAAATGAAACCAGTTTTGCCAGCATTGTTTCCCTTCCTACATTTTTTGCAGTATATGAGGTATAATATTGGGTTAGTTACAATTCGGTACTGGTGGCCGGATTGTTATTTGTGTCCCTGGTAGAATGAATGAGCTGCCTGTATCGATGGTGTCGGACCACAGGTCCACGGTCAGACATTGATGATGTCGGAACTTAATTCCCATTGGTTAATATAATATATTATTCTTTATGTATGTGTAAGAGCTCCAAATGTTTTCTCACCTTAACGTTGGTTAAGATAGCAGGAGCTATCGA